TGATGTAACAAATGCCTTTTTACATGGAGACTTAGATGAGGAGATCTATATGGAGGTGCCACCTGGTTTTGAAAGCATGAAGGGAAGGGTGTGCAGACTAAAGAAGGCACTCTATGGATTAAAGCAATCACCTCGTCCATGGTTTGGAAGATTTACAAAGGTTATGATCTAGCTAGGGTATCGACAAAGTCAAGAAGACCAAACCTTGTTCATACGACACTCAGAAATAAGAAAGGTGACAGCATTATTAGTTTATGTTGATGACATTAGTAACAGGTGATGATTCAGAGGAGCTACAAAATTTGAAAAGGTGTTTACTCAAGGAATTTGACATCAAAGAGCTTGGAAAATTAAAGTATTTTTTGGGAATTGAAGTGGCACACTCAAAACAAGGAATCTTTATTTCCCAACAAAAATATGTGTTTGATTTGCTGAAGGAAACAGGAAAATTAGGGTGTAAACCAGTGGCTACACCAATTGCATATAATCATAGATTGTGCAATGCTCCAGAAGATTTTGTGGTAGATAAAGACTTGTATCAAAGGCTTGTAGGGAAATTGATTTACTTGTCTCATACAAGGTTGGACATTGCATTTGCTGTAAGTGTTGTTAGCCAATTTATGCATGATCCTAGAGAAATGCATCTTCAAGCTGTCAACAGGATTCTACAATATCTTAAAGGAAGTCCAGGAAAAGGAATACTATTCAAAAGAGGAGGAGACATGGTTTTAGAGGCTTATACTGATGCAGACTATGTTGGTTCATCAGTAGATCGAAGGTCAAGTTCTGGATATTGCACTTTTTAGGAGGAAATCTGGTGACTTGGAGGAGTAAAAAACAAAATGTAGTAGCCAGATCAATTGCAGAATCTGAGTTTAGATCTATTGCTATGGGAGTTTGTGAGTTGTTATGGTTAAAGATAATCCTTGATGATTTGAAGATAAGATGGAAAGGACTTATGAGACTATATTGTGACAATAAATCAGCAATAAGTATAGCTCATAATCCAGTACAACATGATCGCACTAAGCATATTGAGGTAGATAGACATTTCAATAAGGAGAAATTAGATGGCGGACTCATTTGTACGCCATTTGTATCTACAAAAGATCAGGTCGCCGATGTTTTAACAAAAGGACTGCCAAATAATGTGTTTCAAGATCTAATAAGCAAGCTAGGAATGGAAGATATCCATTCACCCGCTTGAGGAGGAGTGTTGGCTGATAGAGGATATTCTCCATATCAAGATTTGATCCCTTAAGATCTTAAAGATAATTGTTGTAATCTAGAATATCTTTTTCTTCTTGTTAGTAAAATATATGATTTTATAAAATCCCAGATTTCATGGGATCTAGGTGATTCTATTCCACAATCTCTCATGTATATAAAGCCTTGCATATGACATAGAAAGATATGAATAAAACTATTCAACTATCTTATTCCACAATATGGCCATGAACTGTAACCACCACCGACGTGCAAAATTTTTAGTTAAACTAACTACTAGAAGAGCACCACTCGGAGAGTGTGTGGTGAAGAAAGATCATATTGATTAAAGAAGAAAATTGAAGTGAAAATCGGACACTTATAGAAGCTTGAACCAAACGAAACCTCAACACAAATCAACAAAGAAAGGCTTCTCCAAGAAAGAGAAAATTTACTATGTTAAGACCACAACTGCAAGCACAAAAAGAAGGAACAATTAAGTGAAAAGTTGGCAAAACCCAAAGTGCTTGGTAAATCACTAGAAATGACATAGACAATATTTAAAACCCTTTTTTTCTCGAAGCCCTAACAATACCGGATTGCAGGGCAAGCACCTAAACGACCAGCTTGCTAAACACTAAACTTTTAAATTTCCAAATCTAATCCTCCAATACTGTTCACTCTGTGGTATATGCATCTTTCCAACAGACAAAACTCAAAACCTATTATGATAAGAAGAAAAAACTGGAAGTAGAGAAGATAAACAACAAGAACACAAAAGGTAGATGATGAAAAGATCCAGAACTGAGCGAGCACTTACCAGATGTCCACACCACAAAAGAGACCTCATCAGTTGGATCATCGCAAAGCAAAAGCATCTGGAGTAAAAGCTGAAAATGCACTTGTGGAGAGAGTTATTGTAGATGAAAACTTCCACTTAACAGCACTTCTGACAATGAGATAAGGGCATCTCTATGACCAGGGAAGAAAACTAAATCGAAGAGCAAGACTAATACAAAGCCTGAACTAAGGAAAACTTCAACGCTAAGACAAACAAGGCTTCTCCATTAAAGGAAGAATTTCCTGATCTTGAAAGACCTAACGACAGCAAGAACAAAAAGAAGAGAGCAGTTAAAGTGCAAGGTGCAAACCATGCATATAGGGGAGATCACTAGAGATGGCACACAAGATTGCATAACTCCCTTTGCCAGTGCCTAGTGATATCAAAATTGCAATGCCAAACAAGATTGCATAACTCACTTGATAGTGCCTGGTGATATCCAAATTACAGTGCAAGCACAAGCACCAAAATGGCAAAGAAACAGGGTGCACAAGGAAAGGACACACACTGAAAACCAAACTTCGGAATTACCAAATTTGATCCCCAAATGATCACCATGTGGTCTACAAATATGCATCTAAGAAAAACAAAATCAAGTGCCATGATAAACATAAGAGCAGCAAGAACACTAAAGTAGAGGAGCTCTTAGGGCCATAAGAAGATCTAAAATTGAGTTTAGGTACTTCTCAGGTGTCCATAAAAATCAGGGATCTCGTCATTTGGATCATCCAAGAAAATAAGCATCTAGACTAAAAACTTTATGGCTGCAAAGTACAAACACACTAGTGGAAAGTTTTATCATTGTTGAGAATTTCCATACAACAGTAGTTTTGACAAAGAGAGAAGGGGGCCCATTGATTAGGAAGAAAACTGGAGTTCATGCTCTGGAAGACCCAACGGTTACATGTACAAAGAGAACATAACAGGTAAGTGGAAACCCATACCACACAAGATATATCACTAGAGATGCCAAACATGATAAGATAGCAAAGCCCCGTTTTCTTGATGCCTGGTGATATCCAATCTCCAGATCGTAGTGCAAGCACAAAAATGGCAAGGAACATGGTCCATAGGAATGCACACCGAAACCAAACAACAACATATCCTAATCTTATCCTCTTACTACCACCATGTTGTCTACAAACATTCATCCAACAAACCTAAATAAAATGGTAGGCTAAAGGAAATAAGAGAAGACAAGTAGCGAGAACATGAAAAGTAGAGGAGTGCAACAGGGCAATCTAAAGATCCATGATTGAGTTCGATTACACTTATCATGTGTTGTCCATAACCATTAAGATCTCATCAGTTGGATCACCAAAGAACATAAGTATCTGAATTATTAAAAAACAAATATGCAAAAAAATACACAGTGAGGCACCAGGGGCGGAGCTATGACATGGCAAGGGTGGTCAGATGAACAACCTTCATCGGAAAGTTTTTACGGGTATATATACTAAATATCGAATTTTTTGGATATACACTAACTGTTGAACAACCTTGACACAAAAAAGGTTGACAGCCCAGCGGTTAAGATTGTGCAAAGATGCCTCAGCATTCCGGGTTCGAGCCCAATTGTTGGCGTTTTCTTTAAATTTATTTTCATTATTCCATTTGTTCTCTTAGAAAAGGCAAAACTCAGTCTGGGTTCGATCCCAGGCTTGAACATTTCATTTATTTAATATTTGTTCCGTTTTTCTCTTAAGAAAAAGTACAAAAGTTACCTTTTTTAAGTTAAGAAAAACAAAAGGAAATAAAAGGTCTATTTTTTACTTTTCTTAATTTTAAAAAAAAATAGATTCATAGTTGTCTTTTCCTTTTAGTTTTTTGACTTCTTCTTCTCCCAAAAACCCTTTACAACTTTACTCTTTACCTTCTCTCTTCTCAACTTTCATACATATTTGCAAGTTTTGAGAAATTGGAAGCTTTAATCATTGTATATTTCTTCCTCAACCGCCATTGAAGTGTGAAAAGGTATTTCTTAATTCTTTTTTTCCTTTAGTTTAGTTTTTTCTAATCATGTGTTGAAAAGACTTGAATATCTTAATTTTTATGTTAAAAGCTACTTTATTTATTTGAGTATCGATCAACTATTTGGTGTATTGTGGATGATTTTTAATAAGTTTAATTTGGTATACTTGAACTTGACTACTATTTCAGTTTGGTGTTCAATGAGTTTGGAGAAATATTTTTTTAGAGTACCCAAAACAAGTTTGGCGCCTCAAAATCAAAATTAACTACGCCGAGATGAAAATGTCAACCAAATAGAAATATCATCTCACTCTTCCCAAAGACAAGAATTTGATGTAAACGATTTAAAGGCTGATCCGGCTGAAAGAACTCTAATTTTGAATTATCATCCGAACCTTCGTGATGAGATAAGGAGGGCATATATCATTAAAGGTCCTTGTCAACCTCAAAATCATCAGTTTACTCAAACTAATTTTTTTGGAACACCACGTCGTTTTTTTTATACGTGGTTTGATGAATATCGTGATTGGTTGGAATACAGTATTAGTGCGAATGCTGCTTATTGTTTACCTTGTTATTTGTTTCAAGGAGAAAACATTAATCAAGGTGGTGGTAATGTAATTTCGACTAAGGGATTTACAAATTGGCATAGAAAAGATAGCTTTGCTACACATATTGGTCTACCGAATAGCGTTCATAATCAATCCAAAAGAAAGTGTGAAGATCTCATGCGAGAACAACAATCCATTCAAGCCGCATTTTACAAGTTGGATGATAAAAGTAAGCATGAATATCGATTCGGTTAAACACTTCAATCGATGTGGTAAGACTTCTCTTGGATCAAGGTTTTGCATTTCGTGGTCATGACGAGAGTGAATCGTCATTGAACAAGGGTAATTTTCTTGAAGTTCTTTCTTGGTTAGTTGCTAGATGTGATGCAATTAAACCTTTTGTGTTACAAAAAGCTCCAAAAAATAATAAAATGACTTCTCATGACATCGAAAAAGATATTGTGACTACGTGTAAGATTGAAACAGTTAAGGCAATAATAGAGGATATAAATAGTGACTACTTTGTTGTATTGGTTGATGAATCTAGAGATGTGTCACGAAAAGAGCAAATGGCTATTTGTCTAAGATATGTTGACAAAATGAGGTTTATGATGGAGGCATTTATTGGACTTGTTCACATTAAAGATACTAGTGCTTTATCTCTAAAGAAAGTAATCATAGATGTACTTGCTCACCATTCTTTGACTTTATCTAATGTACGTGGGCAATGTTACGATGGAGCAAGTAATATGCAAGGTGAGCTAGGTGGTCTTAAAACGTTGATTAGACAAGAAAGTAGATCGGCTCATTCTGTTCATTGTTTTGCTCATCAACTTCAATTGACTTTTGTTGCGGTTTCTAAAAAGTGTGTTCAAGTAGGTGAACTTGTATTATTAATTTCAAATATTTTGAATGTGTTGGGAGCTTCTTTTAAACGTGTGGATAATTTTCGAGAATCTCAAAAAAAGCATCTCCAAATGGCATTGGATATGGGTGAACTAGAAACGGGTAGAGGGTTGAATCAAGAACTTGGTCTTGTTAAAGCCGGTGATACTCGTTGGGGATCTCACTACAAGTCATTTGGAAAATTTATTAGTAGCTTTGACTCTATTGTTGATGTACTTGATACTCTTGTTGAAAATGCAAGTACTTTGGAAGAAAGAGCAAGCGCATCGGGATTTCTCAGAAGTTGTCAAACGTTTGAGACTATTTTCTTGTTGCATTTGATGACAGATGTTTTAGGAATCACAAATGATCTTAATGTTTCATTACAGAAAAAGGAGCAAGACATTGCAAATGCCATGATTCTTGTAAAGGTAGCAAAGAGAAGGTTGCAAGCTTTAAGAGATAATGAATGGGATCCTCTCTTTAAAAAAAATATTGGATGGGATTCACTTAAAGAAAAGGTAGAAGCATTTTGTATCAAGCATGGCATTTCATTACCCAATTTTGATGATCCATATGCTAATTCTGGGAGATCACGACGTAAAGTAGTTATTTGTACTACTTTGCATCATTATCATGTGGATGTGTTTTATAAAATCATTGATTGGCAACTACAAAAACTTAATGATCGTTTCAATGAGGTGACAAGTGATTTGCTTAATGGAGTATCTTGCTTGAATCCAATTGATTCATTTTCTAGTTTTGACATAAAGAAGATAATGAGAATGGCTGAATTATATCCTGATGATTTTGATGGGTCCAACATGAGAGCTCTTGAGAATCAACTTGTTAATTACATTATTGATGTTCGTGATATTGATGAAAGGTTCTCCAATTTGGGTGGACTTGGAGAACTTTCAAGAAAGTTGGTTGAGACAAAGAAGCATTTAACCTATTCTCTCGTATTTCTTTTAGTGAAGTTTGCTTTGCTTCTACCTGTTGCCACTGCTATAGTTGAAAGAGCTTTTTTGGCAATGAAGATTATCAAGAATGACTTGCGAAATCGAATGGAAGATGAATTCTTATATGGTTGCATAGTGCCTTATGTAGAGAAAAAAGTATTTAAAGATGTTTCTAATGAGTGTATTATGAAAACATTTCAAGAGATGAAGTGTCGTCGAGTGTAATTGTAGTTACCACTTTACAATTTACATATTTTGGTGTATATGAAACTATTCGTCAATATATATGTCCTACTTCATCTTCCTTAGTTTATTCATTGATATTTTGTAAGTTTCTGTTTTAAGAATTTTCATTTTGGATAGTTGGTTAATTTGATATTGAGGTATGACTATTTTTAAGCCAATCTTTATAATCTGACTAGCAAGGTTTATTTTTTTTACTTGTCCTAAAATATGAACACCCTTGGCGAAAATCTTGGCTCCGCCACTGTGAGGCACTGTTGACAAGAGAGAAGGGAACCATTTTGTTTAGGGAACAAAACTAAATTGAAGATCTCAATAATCATTAGAAGCATCAACAAAAAAAACTCAACACGAAATTGACAGACCATGCCGCTCCATGAAGAAGAATCTATGGCTTTGTAAGACCCAACAGTTGCAAGCACAGAAAGAATGGAATAGTAAGTGCAAAGTTGGCGAACCAGGTACCATCTTCATTCGAAACCTGATAATCTCCAGATTGTAGTGCAAGCACCAACATGGCCAAGAAACAGGTGCAAAGGAATGCGCACTATACACCAAACCTTCAAAATCTTTCAAGTCCTATTCCTCTCAACTGTCACCATACATGCATCCAACAAACAAAATCAGGCTAGCGTAATACAAGAAAAATGAAGCAGAGAAGATGAGCAGCGAGAACACAAAAAGAGATACGAGGTTCTCAAAAGATCCAAAATTGAGTATTTGTCAGGTGTCAATGAGACCATAACATCAACCATCAGGAATCTCATCAATTGGATCATTGAAGAAAATAAGCATCTGGACTAAAACGGCAGTAGAATACAACACACACTACCGAAAATAAAAAGCTATTTTAGTTGAAAATGTCAGAGCTCATAAAAGCCTGAACCAAGAAAACCTCGACATAAATGGACAAAGATAACCACTCCATGAAAAGAACAATTAATTGCACTGTAAAACCCAATGGCTGCAGGCACAAAAAAAAAAGGTACAAATCAAGTCCAAAGTTGACGAAACCCATACCATCTAAGACATCACTAGAGATGCCATACAGACAAGAACTAAAACCCGGTTTTGGTCGAAGCCCTGACCAATATATCCAGATTGCAGTGCAAGAACCAAAAAGACCAAGAGGGTATAGAGATACCATATTGGATATCAACCTTTGAAATCTCCAAATGTTAACCTCTATTACTGTCAGCATATAATCTACACATGCATCCGAACAAAAAGGAGCAAGTAGTTGTAACCAAAAGAAGATGGCAGCAAAGAACATATATAGCTAGAAGCCTAGAAGTAGAGGAGCATTTTATGACGCTGTTAAAAGAAAAGATCCAGAGTTGGCCATAGCCGTAGGAGACCTCATCAATTGAATCATTGAAGAACATAGTGTCTGGATTAAAAACCTCACGGCAGCAAAACACAACACACTGGTGAAAAATATTATCTTAGTCGAGAAACTACCATAGAATAATAGTTTTGATATAGAAAAGGGAGCCATAAGGGAAGAAAACTGAATAGAAAATCTACGATACTCATAAACGACAACTAAAGAAACCTCAATTCAAACAAACAAACACGGCCGCTCCATGAAAATAATAATTCAATGCCCTGTAACCAATGGCTGCAAGAACACAAAGAAGGGAATAGTTAAATGTAAATCTGAAGGCCCTGTAACCAATGGCAGCAAGAACACAAAGAAGGGAATAGTTAAATGTAAATCTAAAGAACCCCAAACCACTTAAGTAATCACTAGAGATGCCATAGACCAGACTGAAACCCTATTTTGTCAAAGCCATAACAGTGTCACCACATGGTCTACACATCTATAGAATAACAAAATAACTAGTGTGATAATGAAAAATATAAGGAAGCAAAGAAGATAAGTAAGTAGCTAGAAGAATAAAAGTAAAAAGGTAGTTTATGACACTATCAGAAGATCTTGAATTGGCTGAGTACTTATCAAGTGTCCATACGCTTACACCTGGACGTAGCCGGCACTCGGAAACCCACTGTTGGTCCCAAGCGAACCCTTGGACTGGCTAACTACTGAGTGAAAGACTAAACATTCATGTGGAAGCCTTATAAAATGAACATTTAAAATCACTTAAAGATATCCCATGCAAAAGTCTGAAATAAATCTGCATAATAACAATAACAATAATAATAATGATGTTTAAAACTTCGGAATACTAAAGACTGAACTGATGCATTAACTTTGTCTATTTATGGAGCCTCTACTAACGGAAGATAGGTGTCGGGACAAGACCCATGCTACATGGCTATTCCACTAAAATTGACTAAATAAACAAATTAACTGAACTAACTAAATTAGAGCCCACCAGAAGCCAAGTCTCACCAACTGCTGGTGGAAAAAATATCTTACTGAATGTCTGTTGTCATGACTACTTGAAACTGCATCATAAAATGATGCAGCTCCAAATGACGTCAGTACATGGAATGTAGCCTGCTGATTATAAATGTGGTACACAACATACCCATAAGCAAGACTCTACTAGACACAACTTCATAGACACACTAGGACACTTGAACTCGGGCTCTAATATAAAGTTTGTCACGCCCCGAAGCCTACACCCCGGAAGTGGCCGGCACTCGAAAACCATTTATGGTCCCAAGTGAATCCTTGGCTTGGCTAACTACTGAGTGGAAGACTAAACATACATCTTCACTACAAATGCAAGAGACAAGATTGAAAACCATTACTTTGGTCGAAGCCTAACGATATCCATCACAAAAAAGACCAAGAAACAAGGTGCACAGGAATGCATAACGGATACAAGCCATTGAAGTTTCCAAAACTAATCCTCTATAACTATCACCATGTGGTTTATACATTTATTCACCAATAAAAAAAATAAAGTTGGCATGATAACCAAGGGAAAACGACAAAGAAGATAAGTAGCTAGAAGACAAAAAGCAAAGGAGCGCTTTACAGCACTATCAAAGATCCATAATTGACTTTTGACTCTATCCAATGCCCATAACACCATAAAAGACATCAGGATCATCAAAGAACACGAGCATTTGAACTAAGAACTAAAACTGGCAGCAGAACACACTTGTGTAAAGAATTATCATAGTTGAGAACTTTCATATCGTACCAATTTTGACAAAGCATTGAAAGACTAAAAATCCAATACCTATAGTAAACGACCCGTGAACTGATGCATCTTCCCCAACCACAAACACTGAGGCACGACACTTATTCATGTAGAACCACTTACACCTAGATGCACATCCATGTATTCTTGACAGCTAAGAATGACATCCACTGATGACCAAAGCAAATAAGAAGGTAAAAGAAGTTGACGCAAAGAAGACATGATTAGCATTAGCATTAAAGATGGAAGTCAAGATATCAAATCCAAACTGATAGCTCCACTGTATGGTTGTGACACATAGGTCTAGAATAGAAGATCCAAGTAGGCATGCCTAGGGAGCCAAATTTCAAGTATTCTGATACAACAAAAGAAAATTGTTGTGTTTCATAGTAGTAAATAGGGTGATAGAACAATGTTCACCAACACATGAATTGTCACAACAAAGACCTCACAATTTCCCAAAACCTGGAAGCAAACATGAAATTGCATCTATAGTGGACCTCACCAGCTTCCAATTTCTAATAACATTGGAAATCAATCAAAAGGATTGCCATCATAAACTACCACTATAATACACAATATATTGGAGTCCAATCCCCAAAGAGACCAAAACAACAAGTTGTACAAGAATGCATACCGGATACAAGCCTCTGAACTAAACTAATCCACTATTAATATCACCATGTGGTCTACATATTCATTCACCAATACAAAACCAAGCTGGTATGATAACCAAGGTAAAACTGCAGATAAGTTGCTAGGACACAAAAAGTAGAGAAGCACTATCAAAGATCCCGAATTGACTTTTGACTTTATCTGGTGCCCATAACACCATATAGACATCAGGATCATCAAAAAACATGATCATCTGGCAGAGCAGAACACACTATACATACTTGTGAAAAGAATTATCCTAGTTGAGAACTTCCATACCGTATCAGTTTTAACAAAGGTTTGAGAGACTGAAAAATCCAAGACCTATAGTGAAAGGTCTGGGAACTGCTGCATCTTTCCCGACCACAAACACAGAAGCGAGACACTTATTCCTGTAGAACCACTTGCACCTAGATGCCCCATCCATGTATTCTTGACAGCTAAGAATGACATTTAGTGATATGACCAAACCAACTAAGGAGGTAAAAGCAGTTGATATGAAGAGACACATGATTAGCATCAAAATTAGCATTCAAGATGGAAGTCAAGATATCAAATCCAAACTGATAGGTCAATTGTATGGTTGTGACACATAAGTCCACAATAGAAGATCCAAGTAGGCATGCCTGGAGAGCTAAATTTCCAGTCCTAACAAGCAAAATTCACGAAGGTAGAACCCTTAATCCTTTCAAGAATGTAATTATCTTTAATATTGAGGGCCAATTCAAAACCTTTATATAGTAGATTAAAAGGAAGAATAGACTCATATGAAGGTTCCCCAGAAAAAATTATTGTAGTTGTTCGTTAGATACACTCTTGCTCAAGAATCTGTTGTGTACACGTATCCTGAATCAATCAAAAGGATTGCAATTATAAACTCCCACTATTATACACTAGAAAATGGGAACAAATAAATTAATAAACTACACATGAAGGGAAGCAAGGATATGAATATTAGGTTACTGACAGAAGGTAACAGCAAGCGTAGAAGGAGAATCATGAAATATACTGGAAGGTACTCTTCCCCTATAATCATTACCCATACCTGATCAAAATAACAACAATAACGAATCAATAAATTGGCCAAAAGAAAGAGTCAACAACTCCCAAAACCCCTAACATTCCTCCTCCGACCTTAACTTGTCTACAGAGATAATCAAAGATTCGAAAATCAGAAACCTACACCCCATATTAAAAGATTCAAAAACC